AAGTGTAACAAAATATATTTTTCATAATGAACTGATTTACTTTATTTAAGATATTTATGATTGTATTCACAATCATATAGAACCTTACCACTAAAAGAACAATGGTATTGTTGAAGCGCCGTGCAGTATTTTAAATAATGAAATATGAGATGCAAAAGATATGTTTATTTGAAATAGGAGAAATTACAAAACCATGATATTATCTGTTGAAAGTGACACTGTTACATGACTTTGAAAATAAGAAGATTTAGGGTAAAGGTATGAGACAGCAATCAAACAACATAGAACAAAATCAAAAGACATATAGTCCACAGCCAAGTAGACAAGTTTATATGCTCTATTCCAAGCTTTTATTTGTCCGTAGTTCAGAAAAAATTCTGCCATCCATCGATCTCCCCTCCCCCAATTAAAAAAACAAATAAACAACAAACGGCATTGGCCTGAGAGATAGGACAACTATTGGTAAGGTTGTATATCGTGGGCCTACATGTGATGTCAAAATTAATCTATCGAATCCCATTCTCCTGTCATAATTTAAAAAAAAATAAAATAATAAAAAAAAAAATATTATAATAATAATGATAACTATAACAAAGCTATCCTTCACTCACAATAAAATTTTCCGTATTTACACGGGTGCTGAGATTTGATTTTTGTTTAATTTCTCTATATTAGGGTAGGGGGAAAGGGGGTACAATACATTCTAGGGTTCGTCGGTACCGGAAAATATATCCACTTGAAAAAAAATTATGTTGAAGGAAAAGTCCCGTCTTATATATTTCTATAATATAAGCCTTCGTCGGTCCATATCGTTTGCTTTCAACGTTTTTATCGGATATTGTTGTTTACCATAAATGCTGAACCTACGAAGGCTTATATTAAAAGGACTACCGTCTTATACAGTCAAACAAAGCAATTAGCTAACAGGTTTGAAATCCGGAAGGACTGATGCTAGTGTTCAGAGTCAGGATGATAAATCATAAAAGAAGTTTATGAAACTACAACCCTTCCAAATTCTATCCATAACATATGTATATATATATATAATTCGTCTCAAATTTAGCCCAACAATGTGAGATCTTCAAAATTGCGTTATCAAATTTTTGTTGTTCCCTCAGCGGGATTCCTTGCTTCTGTGACATCGTGGCAATACCGCCTGCACCGTGTCCAGCGCCCTAGACCACTCGACCACCTAGGCTACATTAAAATATAGCTTTCGGTGGTCAAAGTAATGCCTTTCCTATATATATGCATGTACTTGTACATCGTGTGTTCATTCTGAGGTTCACATAGTACAAAAGTGCAGTACATCTACATAGGTTTATAATGAGTTTGAAAGGTAGGACTGAAAGTATTATAATCAACTACAAAAGTCAGTATAAACGAATAGTAGCCATCGTTAAAGAAACTAGACCTCTTATTTGACTCTTGTTATACGTTTCTAGTCCATATTCTTAGTGAACATTAAAATCAATATATGCCTACATGAGGGTCGAAAGGGGGTTTGCAGAATAGAGAATATTGAGCAAAAAGTGTAGAATAAATGACTGAAAACATAAGGAATAGAGAAAAACAGCCACAAATATGAATACCGAATAATAGGGTGCTAAAATATAAACAATAGAGAATAAAGGGTACAGAATATAAAGAATAGAGAAAAATTGCATAAATGATTAAGGAGTACAAAATAAAGGACCCCCAATTCAGACCCTCTTACACAAACTTGAAGACAAAAAATTACCTCAGCATACCAAAATGAAATGAAATTGTATTGAACACCAACAAAGGTAAATACAACACACCACATTTCTGTACCTCAATAAAATAAAGAGATCATGCAACATCATTTATCAAAGTCGTGTTCTTTTAGAGAACATGCTAAATATTGAGATGTTTTATTTGGTAGGGGAGTTTCCTAACAGTACTGAAAAGCGTAGATTTACATCACAGATGTGATTCAATGTATTTAGAACGTACTGTAAACCAACTGTTTAAAAACTGTCACTTCCGGATTAGACCTTTGTTGACATGTCATCTGTATAGTGTAAACAAAACTATTGTAATGGAACACTAAACCTTCTAGTTAAATTTTTTTTATAAGTATCACAAAATGTAATAATTGATGTAATGTAAATGTCAAGAAACTGGATATATGAAGTTTTAACTACAGTTGTTCTCTATTAGTTGTAAGACGTTGATAAACCAGTTGGTGAAAACAATTATCGTAAAATCGTCAATGTCTTAGGAGTTTGTGCTTTCATTATTTCTATCTTTGTGTTTTTTACTGCGAGTTTTGTGGTTTCTGAACTGCAAGCTCAGTTGTTTCCTTGATGTGAGCTCTATAGCGTCTTACTTGCAAGTTACGTGGTTTCTTAACTGGACCCCCTCCCCCCTGAGACCTCTGTAGTTTCCTTAGTGCGTGTTCTTGCAAGCTATGTGGTTTCCTATTCTAACTAATTACATTAACATGTTTTCAAAATGATTAGCCTGACTAAACTTAATGATACCACGCGTACCATTATTTTGGTCAGACGGCTTAATTGTTGAGAGTAAAAATCACACAGGATGTTCTAAATGAAAACTCACCATAGCCAGAGGCGGATTTAGGGGAGGCAGGGTGCCCACCCCCCCTCCCCGTTTTGTGGGAAAAATTTGGTTGATTATTTAGGGAATCACTGAAGCATGACTAAGCGCCCCCCGACTTTATGAAAATTTCTGGATCCGCCATTGATAGCTATAGAGGTTTTTAATATATGAATAACTTAGTTTGTATTATACTAGAAATGATTTCTTCAGTCTACGGCATAAGACCAGTGGTTATCTCTGGGTATCCCAACATTCTACACCAATGACATTGACAGTGAAAATCCAAAAACAAATAACACGTTCTATTTGAAAAAGAGAATTTCTATTTTATTCTCTTTTTTTGGTGGTTTCAAACTCGGTTGACCATGTGAATTAAAATAACAATATTTGTCAACAAATCTATTAGATGATGGCAATGCTAACATGATTTTATCATATTTGGGGAAATCTCCCCACTCAATGAAAAAAATTGGTCTCCTTGAATTAAAAAAAGTACCAGTGGGGAAATATCCCCACATACACATATAAAACCAATAACATTAGAATGGGGAAATATCCCCACGATAAGATAATTAATTGGAAAACAAAAGCTTTAAAATATTGTTGACCATCAATTGGGGAAATTTCCCCACAATCTTATCATGTTCAAACTAGATACTGTTGACTATCAATTGGGGAAATTTCCCCATAATCTCATCATGTTCAAATTAGATATTGTTGACTATCAATTGGGGAAATATCCCCATAATCTCATCATGTTCAAATTAGATATTGTTGACTATCAATTGGGGAAATTTCCCCATAATCTAATCATGTTGAAATTAGATATTGTTGCCTATGAATTGAGAAGATTTTCCCATTATATCATTAAGTTCAAATTGACGGCAAATCAAATAAGTGTATGTACAAAAAAATGTCATCCCAAGTCGTGAATATTTAGACAGTGTTCAGACAGTTAACTTAAAACAAATATTGATATATTGCCTATCAATAATAATATCACATATATTTTATTATATTATAATTTATAAATAAATGTTACGGCTAGAATATTTTGTTGTTATCCGTATACAGTATGCAGAATGTTTTGAATACAGAGATTATCTGTTGTAAAACATATTGCTTTAAACATGAGAAGCTTACTTAAAATCGTTATTATTAGGAACAAACCTCCATAAAATAGAGGCGAAAGATACCAGAGGGACATTCAAACTCATAAGTCAAAAATAAACTGACAACGCCATGGCTAAAAAAGAAAAAGACCAACAGACACACAATAGTACACACAACACAACATAAAAAACCTTAAGACTAAGCAACACGAACCCACGAAAACATAAGGGATTGGTATATTTTTAGGAAACAACAAAAAACAACAAAACGCACACAAACAAGGACACCTATGTTTAATCAGTAGACACCACCGTACTACTTGAAATCAATTCCAACCAATTTGTTATACCAAATATCGATATTTTCAAATTTCTTCATGAAGCTGTCGGTGTTCACAAAATACCTATCCTGTATGTAAACGGTGATGATGCTTTTGTGAATTTATAAAAGAAATGATTTTTATGACGAAACGCAATAACTTGCATAAAGATAAAAAGATATATAAGTACATCATCATCACTTTTAATATGCTAAGATTGTGTAATGAATACAAAAAGTGTTATATGACACATTGTTACATGTTTTAATACTGCAACTATATTGCACAGCTGTATGTGCATAATATTGTTAGACTCATTGTTGACGATTTAAAACTTATTCTGTACAAACCTACAGTTGGGTGCAGACCAAGCATTACATGTAGACGGGCGGAAAATGTTAACGCGGCGTTTACTCGCGTGCACTTTGTGTAAACGCCGCGTTAACTCCGAAATTTCAGTAGACATAAAAAGAAAACGGGCGTTTACCTTCGCGTTTACCGTGTAAACGCGAAAATGACGCGTCTTCTAATTTTGTAATGTGTTAACGGGCGTTTACTTCCGCGTTTACGTAAAATAAGACGCGTCTTCTATTTTTGTAAAGAGTAAACGCACATTTACTGTTTGTAACGCACGTTAACGCAGATTGACCAATTATTAACTATTAGATGAAAAGCCGCGATAATGTGCTACGGCATTGAAGTTTTGTATGCTATGTCATTTATTTTATTTTTTTAGCATAACCTAGTTGAATATGCCATAAAGAATGTTGACGAATTACTCATGATACTGTATACAACATAATTTTACATGTACACATAGTTTTGCAGTATTTAATTTTGACATATTTTTTTCAAATATTTTTGTGAGTCAATATTTGTACATTTGAAAAGAAGATATAGAAAATCCGCTATTTAAAGTTATTGCAATTAATTTTTTTTTGCAATTAATTAAAGTTAATATTTCGAATTAAAAGTGTTTTTGAATTGGTATGATTTAATCACATATAAGTAAAATATTAAGATAAAAGTCATTTTAAAAAAATAAAAAAAAATGTACAAATGTACACGAAGTTTTTTTTAATAATTTACACAATTAGTTAACACGAAAAGTAAGCGCGTTTACTTTATGTAATGCTTGTAATGCTTGGTCTGCACCCAACTGTATCTGTTGTTGAGGATTATTGCACTTAAGATATCTTTTTCATTCATTGATGTTGTCTCATTGATGGTGTAATAACGACTCCTTTTTTCTACATACAGTTTGCCATATTAAATCATAAGAACATTCTACACCAAACAAGCCAATTATGTGATTGTTTGCTTTTTTATTATTAAGATATCATGATAATGTCCCAATATAAATTAAATAACATATATAACCTTGTTCATTCATGTATTCATGTATAGAAATATAGGATCATTTGACTGATATTAAATTTCTTGTGTTCAAGATAACAGCTTCCTTTTGTCGTTGTTATTGTTTATCATATCCTGTTTGGAAAACAGTATCAGATGACTTCGAGTCTCTTGTAAGTTCATATATACCGGTATATAAACATAACACCTTTATCTGAAATCATCTTGATGTCTTTTTTCGTAGATTCTGTAGACTTAAGACTCTTACTATTTTGTCGTCTGCAAATATGACTTTGTAACCTGTAAAATAGATAACATTCTCACATCAAAAGGACAGAACACCATACACAAATTACATATATACAAATAAATCAAATATATCTACATCTTTCCTTTCAAATCGGTGTTTCCCTCGACTTTATGACAATGTTGACTTCGTATGCTATGTACATTTTTCTGTTGGTTCGACAGGAGCATAAAAGTAGTATTCGTGTAATAACTTTTCAGAAGGAACATACATATCATTACGACCAACTATAGAAACACTTCCTTGGCATTTGAATTCGTAAACCAAAGGGTAATTTTGGTCAAACACTACAAATTTTACAACATGTTTACGAAATCATAGTGACATCACTAGTGACAGTTCTGCAGTTAAGTGTACCGATTATATTAGCATTCTAATTTATCAATAACATAGTTCTACTTTAAATTGTCCAACTCCGATTAGTAGAGTTTGCTGTGTTTAATAGAGTTTGCAATCGAAACCCCCGTGTTTGACCTTTTAAACCTACCTGAGTAACCTCGACATCAATTTTGCATTATCGACGCCCATAAACAAACAAAAAATAACAGCCGATGCTATATTTATATCCTTAGTTTTGATATTTAACACAGTAGTATTTTCACTTCGATTCGGGAAGGTTGCGCACATGACCACTGATTTTATAATTCTAGTCAACCTGAGTTATACGAATAGAAGTAGGCCTAATAACATGATTTTGAAGGTCTGAAATAATTTAACGATTGTTACAATTGTAGTGCAAAAAATTGCTGTAAATATACCTCCTTCTTCAACAAAATTTAAACTGAGTTATTATCCCTTTCGGGATTCTGTGTCCGGAACGATTTTCGTTTTCAGTCGTCTCAGAGTCCCTTATCAAGCCCTATTAACAGAATTCAGTAAATCTATTATAACCCACCCCACTTCGAAACGGAATGGTAAGTAGGTCCTGCTCTACATGTGATACTCTGTGTTCTCTCTAGATACTCCGGTTTTCTCCGCCAATAACAACAAACGTTCATGATTTAGTCTAGAGTGCACAATGTGGCCTTCAACACAAAAACTATCTGACAATCAAGCAATTAAATAATTATCGTTCTTTTCTAATCTCACTTTAATTTATATCATGGTTTACCTGATTTAGTTTTTTCTAAGACTGTTGCACTATACCATTTCTTCTCCGGTTTCCAGAAGCCCATTACTTTTTCGTTCACTGCAAAATCCTGAGAAAAAATCAAAACAATGTATTTATCTTTAAAATTTCACCTCAGTTTAAATTCTGCTTTTAATTTTGTTAAATTAGCACGTTTTAAACTAAATAGAAATAAAAAGATGTGGTATGATTTTTAGTGACACTATCTACTAGGTGTCAATTGACGTGGATGTAAGCAGCTATATTTCACTGTACGGTATTCAACAATAAGCAATCATATACCGTAGTGTAAGCTAAAAAAAAAGACGATCTAACATAATGTCATATAATTTAAACGAGATTACCAACGGCCAATAAATAGAAATGAAAAACATAGATCACAGCAGCCAAAAAAACCACTAAATTACTGATTTCGGACAGACACATACATAATGTGGCAGAACTAAACGTCAAGTAAAACTCAAACAAATATTCCAATTAAGTGTGAAATCATTCCAGCAAAGTTTAAGATAAAATCGATTATTGTAAGGTATAATGATGCATCGTGGGATAGCATCGTTTCTTGACACATGGCCGGAAATATTTTTGAAATTATTCTTGAAATTCACAAAACATCTAAACGTATCATGATGTTCCTGGGTTTACCCCCCCCCCCCCTTTTTTTTTCCCCTCCCCCCCCCCCCTTTTCCCCGTAACCCCATCTCAACATTTTTTTTCAAAATGGCTGAATTATCACACAACGTGCAAATTTAAAATGAAAAATAATATATTCATATATATATGTTTTCTTTTGGGAGTTCGGTGGTGTTTGGCTGAGCTCGTTGGTATTTGGCGGAAAAGACAGAAATATGCACGGTTGATAGCTTCAAAACCACATTGCATACACGTAATATAGATTGCACTGACTTACTTTGCCCAAGGCATTACAATTTTTTAATCTAAGTTTCAGTAAATTACATAATCCATGACCTAAGACTAGCAGAAATGAATTACAATACTCATACTTCATACTCACATTTGTTACTTCCAATGATCTGATGTTTTTCTGATTCTCATGTCTCTTCTTTTCCTATTGAAAATAATTGAGTGAATAATTAACTATTTAGTGTTTTGTATAATTGACTAAGCACACATTGAAGCGTCTCGCCTGGTTCACTGACCACTGATTTCATGTTGAAAGTCTTAAAGATAAAGGTTTAAATACAAGTATCGTATAAACTTAACATTTTTAAAGATCCATGACAATGAGGTTAAGGTTAGATAAATCCTGTCAAACAGACATATGCACCTTACAATTATTCCATACAACAAATTAAGTTGACCTATTGCTTATGGTAATAAGATATCAGACCAAAACGCAAAAACGTAACATTAACCAAAGAACCATGAAAATGAGGCCAAAGTAAGAGTAAATTGTCTTTCCAGACAGACATGTTTACAATACAATCATTCGATACACCAAATATAGTTGACCTACTGCTTACTAAATATGAAAAACAGACCCAACCACAAAAACTTTGACAAATGAACCATGAAAATGAGGTCACGATAAGACGATACCTGGTTGACAGACATGTACGCATTACAGTTATTCCATACAGCAATTATGGATGACTTATATCTTATAGAATTTGAAAAACAGACTAAACCACAAAACCTTAACATCAACCAATGCACCATGAAAATTAGGTCAAGGTGAGATGCTACTTGTCAGACTGACATGCACCCCTTTCAATCATACTACTTATAGTATCTGAGAAACAGACCTTATCAAGTTACTTGAACCTTGATCAATAATTTACATCGCCGCCGCCACGGCCGGATAATAATCACTTTGTCTCGCATTCTGCAACTTTTCGTCTTTTAAATTGTAAAATGACGTTTAGTTCGTGTAAACTCAATTCTTGTAAACGTTCGGATGCATAGGTTTAAAACTGAACAGTAACTTAATGTTATCTTAGGTAATAATTGATTTTAATCGATTGCACTATTAAAGACTTGATTTTCCTTGTTTATTTAAGTCTTTTTATACAAGAAATAGTTCTATAAGGTCATGCTGTATGCTCATTTCAACATGTGTAGGCTGTAAATGAGGCCATATCCACATCGACGAATAGATAACATTTAAAAGTGAACGTGGAACATGCTATAAAATTAATGGTCAAAGATGAAATTAAAAAAAAACATGAATGAATAAATCACTTAACTTACCTCGTTTGCATAAGAAGTTCTTGCTTCGATCTCACTTGTCATCTCTGTTTCCTATGAAAATAATGTTTTGTTTTTATCAAAACTTTCACATTTGTACAATTAATATCGTATTTTGAGGTTCCATTTATCATATTAAAAAGGTTAACCGCACAAGAAGCAGTAATTTCAATTAAAAAATACAATTTATGTGGATGACATAAATAACCATAAGGTATAGTCTCCAGCAAAATATTTGAGAAAACAAAAATATAAACTGTTGATAGCTAAAACACTTAAGGACATAAACATATGGTCTTATAAACATTTAACTTTGCCTCAGCATTTGAAACCTTAATTTTAGCAAAATGTTAAGTAAATTACGTAAATCATTAATTGGCAATCTTCAATAAAAATGTAAGTAAGTTAGACAGCAAATCAAAATTCTGTTTACTCACGTTCGTTGCTACTAACTCCTCATTTGTGGCCTGATTTTCAATTTTCTCCTTTTCCTATTATAATCATAAAGTATCTAATTACGTATTGAGTTTTAAGCAATGAAGAAATAACTTTTTATGATATTTGAAAGTTAAAAGTGTTTTAAACAACTTAAGCTAAATCCATTGACACTAATGAAAAACTGTGAGCGTTAAATTCTTAATATTGATATTACTTTTATCTTCACATCTAGAAATATGCAATTGTCGCTATTTTCTATATGTTAATGGAAAGTGAAATATCACTATATATCTTTTTAAGACTGTTCCCTAAATAGATTCAATAGTTGTATGAAAATAAAAAATTCACTTAACTCACCTTGTTCTCATGCAACTTTCTGTTTTTTGCCTTGCTAGGCTTGTCTTTTGCCTATAAAAAAGATTTAAATTGTAAATAAAGGTTTAATATTTGTACACAGAATATTGTATTTGCGGTTTTAATTAAAATATGAAAAGCGCAAAGCAAAATAAAACATTGATGTGTATAATAAGGTATGCAAAATGATTTGAATACTTTTCATAATCGCCACTGCTATTTGTATGGATCTGGAGTTACAAAAGCGATATGAATAGTTGATCCAGCGTGATGGCATTGGATAAACAATCATGAGTTTTGATGTTTACCTCTTTTGGCTAAATCACAAGTTTCTTTGGAGAGACAAGTAGAGGCTAGAAAAAATCTATTTCAGGAACATGACGCTATGTGCTTAAATGAATTTAAAAAATATATATATATATTAATATTATATGAAAAAGGACAAATTATGTGTTAAGATTCTTTTACACATAATATAGTGCATTAGAAACATAATACCTCTACAATAGTGTCTGCATTCCTTTTCCTTTGATCTTCTAGTTCTTTCTAGCAAAATAAAGAACAGATGTATTATAAAATAAAGTTTCAAATTATATCAGATGTAAATCTTTTGTGAATCAAAAATGACAAGTATGCTAAAATACACATGATGCAATGTTCGTGCGCAATCACATGTTGATTTTTCACCTATTGAGTTTCAGGGATTTGGGTGTAAAAGAGAAAGAAAATATAGAAATTGAAAATTAAGGTGGTCGCTAATTTCCTGTCTGTGAGCATGAAAATGGTTGACTACTTCAACTGTACACAATGTAACTACTTTCTTGAATGACACTTATCATGACTATAAAACAATAATTGGGTCTTGAGACTTCTCCATGATGCAATTTTATTTAACATTATTTTCTTTTGCCGGACACAACTTTATCAAGGACTATTCCACAGTCATAAAATTTTTGCGCCTGTCCCAAGTCAGAAGCTTCTGGCCTTTGTTAGCCTTTTTGTTTTTTTTTTAATTTTAGTTCATTTATATGTTTCGGATTGTAGTGTGACGTCCATTTTCACTGAACTAATACACATTTGTGTTTAGGGGCCACATGAACCCGCCCCCCCCCCTTCCGAGTGCGGGATTTTCTCACTTTGTTGAAGACCCATTGGTGGCCTTTGGCTGTTTTTCTGCTCCTTGGTCGGGTTGTTGTCTCTTTGACACATTCCCCATTTCAATTTTCAATTTTATAACTGATTTAATATGACTTGCTATGAAATACAGATGATTCAGTTGCAATGGATATCTTTATTACAAGACGGTAAAACCAAAGGTAATAATTTCAAATAATTTGAAGTTTTCAATAACTTTTGTTTAAGTGAGCTAAGAACGACAAGAAAAATTACGAATATGAACATCCTCACAATTCAACAACCAGATCAATTAGGCAATAATATCAAAGAGATGTGTCAATAAAATCTAATATTATGAACATACCTCCAAGTTCTTGATCATGGCATCTTTTTCTGCTATAGTTTTCTCATTCCGTTTACATTCTTCAGATTTCTAAATAAAAAAGTCATCTCATATCAAGTTCGTACTAGAGGTAACAGTACGAAGATATTTTGTTTAATTCAATATAATAAGAAGATATTTATTAAGATGAGTATCATCATTCAATTTTAAAATAATTGTGGCTCTAGGAAAAAGATAATTTCTTCCAATTGATAGATTTCCGTATTGTTTTCTGCTTTTCTGTAATTGAATATATTGATAAATGTTTTTTAACATTTAAGCAATTTTTAAAACTATAAAGACGTGAATTAATGATCATATAGTAAACTACTTTTCAACAGGCATCGGCTTTCTGTCATGATTAACCGTATTCAAATACTTTGGTTATAGACACTAGACTCTCATATAATAATGTTTCTATAATGATACTAAGGCATCTTACATGCAACACTTAAAACCTTCAATTTACATATGAGCTCACATAAAGTGTCAAAATTGATTGATTCTAATATTTTTGATGTGAAAGAACTAATTAATGGTTACCTCTTTCTCCATTGTCTCAATAAATAGATAGTGTTGCAGCGATTCGGCTTGGTCATTTTTTTGCTTTTCTAACAAGATGATCTCGGAAGCCTGAAGAAGTAAAATATAGTAAAAATGATGTATTTTCACTTTATGCATGTCTAAAAAAATTGTATTCTTTTAATATGTAAAAGGGCGGGGGCCTTCAAACAAGAAATATGTTCTCAAAAGTCATCATTTGTAGTGAGAATCATGGACAACCGGATCTTTGTTAAACTTAGTAGTTAAATTATTTGTCTATCTCTAGAATCGTACAGTAACAGTCAATTCAAGTCATGTGTTGTCAAACAAATATTTATTTATTATAACTTTATTATTTAAATCTATATAGCCGCATAGTCATGATAGTAAATCAGTAACATTTTTATGTCAGGATGAAATGAACCTCTCTATGAAATCCTGGATTACTTTCAGTTTCAATTTTAACATGACAAGGTACGATTTATAGAATAACTAATCGAAGAATTCAAATAGAGAAAAATATTCAACAAGTGACCGAACAACACATGTATATACTGGTTATTATCAATAATACCTGTTCATCTACTGTTGCTTTCATTTCCTTGCAATGCCGTTTTGATGCCTCAAACTGCTTACTCATTTCATGAAGTTTTCTTTTCAATGAACTAAAATGTTAAAACAACATAAAAATGATAAACAAAAGTCTTCTCCAAATATTTTAAAGTACTTTTTTGTATCGATCAATGATACAATAAATGAGGTTTGTTAGTCAGTATAAAAACATTTAAACCAATCATCTGTAGTAAGATTTATAAGAAAACCCCTGAACTAACAAGTCACAGTGTGGATTTTCTGCCTTGAATTGTATAATACAAAAATGTTATAGTATTTCATGAAATAAATGCATAAAAATTGATAAATTACAAGTTACCGATAAATATTCCTGTACGTTGGTCAAAGACAAATTAATTATATTCCATGGCAGTTAAAACAAAATTTAAAATAAAAATTCAACAATTATCGAGGTTAATACAAAATTGTATGATATGAGTTAAGACTTCATTTTACAATAAATCAATCAATGTTATTATTTTTAATACGGATGCAAATTATGTATACCTATTTTCTTCTTTAATTTCTTTGCTGAAAGTTAAAGCATCATTCTTTGATACGTCACAGTGCGCTTCAACAAGATCTTTTTTCTTCCTAGTAAAGTAAATGCAAAACATTTTTCTAGCTTTGTAATATACATCTAGTGAGTTGGATCACTTAAAGAATGTCTTTCAAATTGTTTTTCTTAAAACAAAATTGCATGATAAGTTAATAACTCGACCTTCTGTAATTGTGTCTTTTTTGTTTTTGTTTTTGGAAGGAGTGGGAATTAGGGGTGGTTATGCTGTTACTTAAGGAACTACCATTTAACTTCAAAAGGGGGGGGGGGGGGGGGTATGTTTTTTTTCCTAAAAAATATTCTGATCCCCAATTTGATGAAAAAAAATATTCTGGTCAAGCAGATGACAACAAAAATATCCTGAATGCAGATTTCCCCCATACCTTATAGTGTTAAATTTTGAAAAAAATAACTTGATTGATAGCGTCGCACGAAAAAAAATAATTTGATTGAAAGCGTTGCACGAGAAAACTATAACTAGTTTTCTGATATGGGATAACCATTAGGAAATGAGTTTGGGTTAACATAATAGGCTTTTTGGGCGGCGGGTATGTTTTTTTTTTCTGAGTCAGGAATTTTTTTTCGGGCAACGCTATCAATCAAATTATTTGTTTTCGTGCGACGCTATCAATCCAGCATCATGCACATGTTAAAATCATTAACACGATGTCAAGCATAACAAGCAAAATAAAAAAAAAGACAAAAAGTAAAACGCTGTTTGATAGTTGATTGATTGATGTTTGTTTCACGTCCAGTGGCAAATATATCATACATGTTCAGGACGAGTAACATAATTAGAATTAGTACTTGGGTTGCTGATGTAATCTTAAAAGTGATTTTAGGAAAAAATGAATACAAAATAGGCAGTCGCAATTTAAAATGTTTTACTTTAATTCAGTGGCATTTTTTACATTACTATAAACATTTCCCATTTCTGTTGTACAGTATGGTTATGTTATTGTATGTCGTATTTATTTCCCCACATAAATTTTCAAGGAAACAAAATATTTTACCACAATCAATTTAAAAGGAAAAACGCCCCACCCCACTTGTCCCACCTAATGTAACAGTATCGCAAAAATTTCGATGATAGTTCCATTTATGTTGACGTTATTGATTTGATTCCTAGTTTGACTCAACTAAATGTTATGAAACTTATACTTGTATAATGTTAAATACCATCAAAACAGAGATTAAATTATAATAATTGTACATATATATTGCTTATTTTACCAACCTTTCACAGCTGCTGGGCATGTCTTTCCAGTCTTTTGTTTTTAATAAATTGTTTAGTACTTCCAACCGCTTTCCGTTTTCAAAACCTGATAACTGCTTAAAATGAAGGGTCTTCATCATGCCTCTTGGTTGGTGTTTGAATTTTCTTTTTTCATACAAGTCAAACACTTTGCATATTTTTACCCACACATTTTCTTCTGACCTTGAAATGGCCAATAAGGTTTTATATTTATTATGCAGGTCTCTTTTATTGTCAAGTCCCAGTATATGGCAGAGGTTTTGGTGCCACTGTTTAATGATACTTGCGGGAATTTTTCTAAAGTTTTTGTCGAAAAGCTTGTGCAATTCCTTTCTAAACATTCGAATAAAATCGTCGACCGAAGTGGGTTTACTCAAATCGTTTGTCATGTTGTGGTCGTGACCCAATCTTAGGGCCTCAACATGTGATAGGTTGAAGTATAAACGGCATCTTACTGTACATAAATGGTTGAACCTTGCCTCATCTTCTTCTAACAGCTCTTGAATAGCTTTCCGTGTATGATTCCCACCCACCGTCTCAATTGTATATCTCCCTGGCTTTCTGAGTTTTCTTTCCTTAATCTTTTTCCGGCTTATATCTATGACGTTACCAAGGAGAACCGTAAAACAAGCTTCCTTCTTTGAAAGGGCTGATTTAATTTCCTCTACATGACGATTGTCAATTGCCCTATATAGCCTTTCTGGTGCAGGACTTACCATGTTGGAAACATGAACTTCTAAACATTCACCTGAAAACATGTTTTGAGAATAAGTTTTAGATGCACACTATATTTAACATCTACAGTACTGTCTACAGACTTAAAATAAATGGGGAATGTGTCTAAGGGACACATATGATGCTCCCGCTTGCATAATACCTTATAAAGGGACATAACTCAAGAACAGTAAAGGTGATGCTACCCACATTTGTATTTGATCTGAATTTTGTAGTAATAAGCAGTGTGTATACGTTTCATAACATTAGGTTGAGGCAAACTGAGAACAGAGACAAAGCAATCAGCGAGTTTTCTATTTGTAAAGGTGAATAACTCTAGAACGGTAAAAGTGACGCCACCAAATTCAAACTTGATGTATGTTTTGTGGTAATAAGCATTGCATATAAGATTCATAACATTTAGTTTAGGCAAACTAAAGTTAGAGAATAGAAACGAAAAATTCAGCAATTTTTCCATTTGTAAAGGGGCATAACTCTAGAATGGTAAAGTGACGCGACCAAAATTCAGACTTAATCTCTGTTTTTATGGTATTTAACATTATGTATAAGTTTCATAACATTTAGTTGAGGCAAACTATCGTTAGAGGCCGGAAACCAATTTTGGACATACGGACGTACAGACGGACAAGGGTAAAACTAAATGGCTCCTCTGCTACGGGAGAGGCATAAAAACAAACTTTCAATGTGTCCATTTTTGCAGTAAAGTTGATAGAAGATTTGATTATATTTTCAATATAAATTAATTTGCAGATTAATAGTTATTCAATGATATGGTATATTTGTTTATACATAATCCTGAACGGAACTCTTTTATTAAGATCTTATTCCCGTGCATCCATTTAAATGTTAATTTGCTTTATTAAAAACTCAACAATCGCTGCATTGGTATGTTCATCGTTACCTGAAGTTAATTACTATGTCGATGTGTATGTTAATTGTTTTTATTACTATAAAAAGTTAATTTAGTATTAAAAACATACCAATTAGTTCTCCTTCGAATTCGTTTAGTTTTTCCAATTCATTTTGTTCTAAATCTTGAAGTTGATTCTGTTCTACCAGTTGATTTTGTTCTTCTTGTTGATTTTGTTCTTCGACTTCATTCTGTTCTTCTGTTTGATTCTGTTCTTCCGTTAGATTCTGTTCTTCGACTCGGTTATGTTCTTCCGTTTGATTCTGTTCTACCATTTTACCTAATTCCTCTTGTTTTGCACAAATCGCTTGAAAAGGTTGAACGATAGCACTTGTCTCAATTTCCTTTGTTGCAGTCGTACAACTGTTCGAATCTATAAAACACATGAAATGCCATGAAAAAATAAGACATTGATGGTGTTCTTAATAAATTGAGACATAACTATAAATATTATCATAATAATAAAATAAATAAATAAATAAATAAATAAATAAATAAATAAATAAATAAATAAATAAATTAATTAATCAATAAATTAATAGATTTTTAGGACAATTAACAACACACACGAACACTTATGAAGTCATTTTTGTATAGATTATCTATATGTATACAGTTATACCTTTCCCGTCTGATGAGTGATGAATGACGAATGCTATAGTATCATGGACCATAGATGGTATATCAAGGACTGACATATTTATTTCATCGAAAGTACTGAGATAAGATGTCAACTCATCTCTCGCTTCTTCTGAGATACCTTGTGTAGTATCTACATAATCAGTGAATATGCTGTCCCCTACTTTTGGCAATTTCTTTGATGCAGATAACTTGTAATTTCGAAGGAATGCTTGAACTTCATTCTGCATCCCTTTCGCTTTCTGAAGCAGTGAAATGCTATTAACACCTAGGGATAAAATGATAATTGTTACCGACTCAAAGCGGATATCGAAGAGTAATTTTTCACATCATAACAAGATAAAAACAAATGAATAAGCATTAGAGCTCATCAATGCCTTAAGTGTTTGGGTATTTTGTCTCCAATAGACCAAATCTGTTCTCGATCCGTTAAATTCCAAATTATCTTGTCATGAGTGAAAGTTGTCTCATTGCGTGCCTTGGAATTGATAAACATGTTTATAGCAACAAGTGGGTTAAATTATTCTCGTCCTTCCCCCGCCCCCCCCCCCCCCCCCACCCCCCCCCCCCCACCCCCCACCCCCCACCCCACCCCCCCACACACACCCCTTCCCCCTTCTCCTTTTATCCGTTTTAACATGTTTAAGGGTCCAGCTATTTCATTTATCTTTGATTTCGGCGTTAGTTGTCCATTGCCATCTTGTCAACTTCTGGTCCCCGGTTTTGTTTTGTCTCTTGATATACCTTCTATTTACTAGAACTTTGGTGTCACACCTTTCATATAAAAGGAGGTTAGCTAATAAAGCCTCTGGCTTTCCAACTTTTTGTGATAGTTTTACGATGTTTTGAAAATGTCTGAGATGGCAAGAAAGTGAAATAAAACCTTATCATTCCTAAAACATAAACTGCAGTTAGTACTAGACGCTCTGTCGTAAGTCGTACTTTTTGAAGAAATAAGTAAAACATTTCGAGTATTCATTTCGAAAATTTCTCAAATATTCTAATTTGTAGCAACAGAGACATTTGCATCTAGACTCTATGAACACAGGTACTTTGGGAAGGGAACTCCTCTCTCCTTTTTCTAAGTTTCATTTTGTATATTTTTTTTGAGCATATATTCTATGATATTTCAAAATTGAGAACGGAAACGGGGAATGTGTCAAAAAGAAAACAACCAGATATAGAGCCGAAAACAGCTCAAGGCCACCAAGGGTCTTCATGCAACACAGCGATAAAATCCCGCATCCGTTATACATATTCACTTATATAATGAGTTCTGTTGTATTCCATCCGATATTAAAATAGTTTATTCATATTGACCCTCTATTTATATTCCCACAATAATGATAGAGGGTCAACATTTATAAACAATTATAATAACTGGGAAAGAGCAGGACACTATAACTACTAGAAGATGCCCGCGGAATCGCGGTACAATTCGGCAAGTGTTGAAACACAGAGTTTTTAAATTTCGCGGACAGTACGGCGACTGAGCATGCGCGAAAGCGTATAAGACACGGATCGATAAAGGTCTCCGAATTAGGATATTTTCTCAAAAATTGGCGTTTTCTGTGGACATGCCAAGAAATCGTCGCTAAAAATTCCGGTCGACCTCCTACGGCATCCATTAGTAGTTAAAGATTTGATTTCATTCAATAAATTAATGTATGACCCGCGTGTACGTCTCACTTAAAACACAGCCATATACCAAATGGTCAAAATTAATCATCCATGTAATTTGCTTTATGGGATGTTTGCAAAATTTCAACGGAGGCAATTTCTTGGCATGGGAGTAAGGAAGAAAGACCATTCACAATTTGTCTTACATTTGTTTTTCTCTTTCAATTAAATAAAAAAAACTCAGATGTAGAGTTCATAAGATGGAAATATTCCCTGTGGAACACCCCCACCCTCCCTTTTTTTTGTGCTCTCTATTTTCAACCCTCTAATCTAATTAAAATTAAAACTTTGATTTCTAACCGATCTATTCATGTACCGGACCGGCAACTTTTTTTTTATTTAATAAGAAAATCTACAGTGCCGTTATACACATGCATGTTGATTGCTTGGAGTCCCCGCCCGAAAAGAAAGAAATAGTCTAACTCCAAGATACTATATTCCTGAATCACGTGATTTTTACTACGTGGAGATTTAATTAGAATAAATACCGAATATGGAAAGTGAAACTATAATTCATAACATAAAGTCCGTTGGCAAATAGAAGTAAAAGAAGATTATTTTTGGCAAAGGGTACCGGGGTAATCCTCTTTGTGTTCAAAATATACATGAAATATTTGCCACTGCCCCTTGTCTCCGTTCTATGCATGTTTACCCTGAGTTTTCTATCTGTTACTGACAAGATTGTTTCAAAGATAAATTTAGGAAGTACAAGACCCTACATTTATGCGTCATATCACAAATATTTTCGACTTTGTATGGTTTCAGAGGAGTTGCGGCTCGATGAAATCGGTTTCTCCCTTTAGTAGTATAGATGTATGGAAGTAAGCATGTATTAATGATCCGCAGAGCTCTGTTTTAAAGTCAAAGCATTTATCCATAGTTACTGTACTAACTGTGACATCGATGGTTGTAAATGGCATCTGGGATTCCCTATCAGTCACGTGATTTTATCGAGTCTGGTAATTAAAGCGCACCTGTCGGAAATATTATCTATTAATCTATTATTAATAACAAGGTGGCACTGTATCATTTAAACGTTATATTTTCATAAAATGTTTGAAAAGAAATCGAATAGTTTTTTTCTTAAATTGATAAACGGACGAGAATTGTTAAAACTACAACAGTTCGATTTTATTTTAACATTTTCTGAAGGTAGAAAAATAATGCTTTAAACAGAATTAGGCTATTATTTTCATAATAAAGAGTCTTACCATGGATATGATTCCACGCCTTTAGGAAGGCTGATCTTGAAAATAAAGTCCCTCTGAACTGGTCTTTAAATAAGGATTTCTGTGAATCGAAATCTTTAAGCTGAACACTTTGAACCTCTCCATCAACTCTTAAAACCTGAAATATTAAAGGAATAAATTAAGTTAACGGAATGTAATTACATTTAAAAAAAAAACGATAGCATTATCATGAGGAGTTTTGAACCTGATCGTTTTCAGTTATATTTAGAAAAACTGATATGCATTGCGAATTGATAGGACAGCAAAATCTATAAAGGCGCAATTAAATCGGACATTTTTAGCGCAAACGTATTTACCCATTTCAACGCAAATAATTGTAGCCAAATAAAGTTAAAAGTACAATTGCACAAATGCCAATTTTATACATGTTATAGCAACATACATTAATTAATATCTTTCTTCTCTTAAATATAAAATAATCGAACAACAAATGTATGACAAGCCGTACAGCACTGTCACTGGCAATGCGATGTAAAAATGTATTTATTTAAATGCAGCACTTTATATTTACAGAATAAAAATAATAATTAAACTAGAGGCAGTAAAGAGCTTGTTTCACTCTGCATCTTAAACAATGGCTGCTCCCCGTCTAGAAAACTAATAATTCGTGACTGAAATATTGGTAAAAATCATCCTGTAACTGATGATTTGGGCATTGTTAACTTATGTGTAGATCGCGTCTTGCTGATAATTTTTGCTACATCTATTTTAGATTTTAAAATAATTGGCAATAACGCAAAAACAATGATAAAATCGTCATTAAAGTGCAGTAGACAATTAGCAAACAAAATGAAAAAAGAAAACTTGTTAAATTCGTCAATTAAGAAAAATAAAATCTTCATAAAGTATGCATACTTATTACTTTAAACGTTTATGCAAATTAGCTATACTTTTAACAGTATGGTAATTGTATTGAAATTGCTCGTTAACCCATGACCAGTAACCTTTTCCGGTTATTATCGCACCCTGATAGATTATTGAACTATGGCGTTTAAAGTCATGAAACATTTCTAAAAAAATAATTAAAACCAAGCAAAATGTACTTTCTTGAGAGTGAACTAGAATGAACAGTTGAAATTATAGGATTGATTGATTATATGTTGGTGTTTAATGCCACTTTCATCACTATTGGCTATATAGTGGCGGCTAGCTTTTGTTGCCAGAGGAAGTCGGAGTGCCCGAAACCGAAGAATAATTGTCAATCGAAACTATTGAAAAAAGTACGTTTACATTAGAAATATGTGAAATTACAAAAAAAAATCGTTCTCATTTTTTTGCATTGGCAAAAGCCAAGACTAAATTAACTAAAGCTACAGTACCTTTAAAAATCCTAATCCTCCAGGTATGATATCTTTTATTTTCCCCCATTTGAAACGTCCAAGCACAAGACAAAAATCACCACTGTCTAATACAATGTCCCAACTTTCCATAATGTATATCCAACCAATGAGTGTACAATTGATAATATGTTCACACCAATTTATACTTCTCGCCCTAGCTTGCATGTCAATCACTTTAGAAATTTGATCCTTCTCTAGAAAACAGTCGGTCTTCGACACGCCCACATCGGGCTAGATGTACATTTTGAAATAATCGTCGATTTATAATTCCACCATGGTTTTCCTAAACGTGTTTTTTTTATTTCTTTCAATGCTTGTGATATCCGATGCCGTATGTAGCGACAGCGAAGATGAGACAGAAAAGGGACAGGTATGTATCATGTTATGCATAACTTATTTTCAAATCAAAAGCGTAATTATGGCGAATGTTCGCATAATATACTATACACTATGAAAAAG